TTTAGTATCATTCGGGTAGTACGTCAAAAGATTCCATAGGAGACTTTCTCCTATGGAATCTTATGGCGTACTACTCGAAGACGTATTCCATATGAGCTCCCTACGGCCAACGCCCATATTGGACTCCCATAGTTCATATAAAGTTTGTTAAAAACTTTCATCTAAGTTATAGAAAGGGTCAATTGAAGTGCCGCCAAAGAGTTAACTAAAGATAATTAACAATATATTAAAGATAAGAACTTTCGTATTAATCAGAAATTAAGAAGATCAAAGAATATACTTTGAGGTAGTATGATTTTAGCTGAAATTGAAATCTCTCACTCCGCGATAAATATATATATTTGAAGGTCCATTTTGTATAATTTCTCTTCTGTTATTAAGTATTCGTTTTTATTTTAAAGGAAGGTCTAAAATGTCTGAAGCAAAATATTTCACCATTTCCATAACTATTCGTAAACGTGTGTTAGTCCGCGTGAAATAAAACTGATTAACTGGTGTCATCATTTTGACGTGGATCTGCATCTCGAAATTATCATCGCTTTTAAACGCCCTTAAGGCCATTTTTCGACTAGAGACCGGATCTCCTGATCCGTGAACTCCCGAGATTTAATCTTTGCCGATTAAATTGTACAAATTCTATGGATCTGTTCCCGGCTAACTCACACTAGATAATGAGAACTTCCTTANAAACTATGACATTGCTGCGACACATTTTTATCGAAATTCAAGATATCAAATTTTTTAACTTTCATAGCATTGGATTAAGAAAATAAATTATATTTATGTATAATCATAATAATAAATAAATACTAATGAGATGCGAAAATTATTTTCCTAAACTGTAACAATCATCGAAATATAATTATTTTATGTTTTTATTTGATTTTAATCGTATAAAATGATATAATATAATATGGAAAACTACTCATTTGTAATTAAAGTCGCCAATGCTAAAAACTTGTTTCACATTGCATGAATGATTTTCTGAAAAATAGAAAAAGTTATAAGCTACGACACGCAAATTTAATGATAGAAGAATAAGGAAAATGTATAATTGGAAACGTATGGCTAGTAATTTAAAGAAATTGTTGTTCAGATCATACAATTTCTGTTCGTTGGGCTGCAACTTAAAAAAAATCTTTAGACCTATAAACTTCCACTGTCGCCTGTCTGTCCATTCGACTTTGTGTCTGTCTTCACTTAATCTCGAGAACAAAGTTAGAGAGATAAATAACGTAAGCAAACTGGCACGCGCTACATGACATTCGAATACGAAAATATTTTGCAATTTTTTGCCAAGAAATTTTACTATTAATGCGAAATACTATTCAAATTTATCGCTTTTGCCAGCTCAGCTTGCTCGCTTCGCTTTAATAATTAATATTAATTTAGCTAAACCAGCAATTTTTTATACAGGATTTGTGTTGCAATGCCGAATTGTTCGAATTGGAAACAGTTCGAGTACCGCGACATCGCTATATTTCGTTAGTTATTTTTACAAAAGATTTTTACCTACGGCTAAAAAAAACTTTAATGACACTTTCTTAAAAATTTTTAAATGAATACAAAAAATAATCCATAAAATCAAAACACAGTGACAGACTTAGAGGCTAAAATCTGAAAGCAATGACAACAACCCTGGTTATAGGAAAGCAGAGGTAAAAAAATCGTAAGATTAATTTTTATTAAAGTAAACATTAAAAAAAACACATAATAAATTTAAAATGTCGATATTCCGAAATCCGTAGGCAAATTTTAGACAATATACGAGTACATCCTCATTTTAATAAAATATATCGATTAACGAAGTTTGCAGTTAAAATTGTCGAAGTTAACCAAATTCTCAAACCGTGTAAGAGCGAATCAATTAAATAAAACCTGTGTTGTGGGAGTAAAATCTGTATTGGAATAATGTCGAATTTGAGCATGCGGGTGTGTTTGCAAAAGTCTACATTTTCAGACTTAGAACCCAACAAATAAACAAGGTAATTGGGATAATGTTCTGTGAATATTTGTGTTGGAGTATTCGTGTATTGGCACAATTTCCTTTAATATCTCAGGATAGGGTAAATATTAAAAAACGAAATTTGCCACAGTAACTTGTATATAAAGCAGATGATGCTGTTGAATTCTAATGGTTAAAAAAATCGATAGAATGGAAAGATAAAAAGAAGTCAACTTATTGAACATTTTTTTTTATAAAACACGTCACTATTTTGAAAACTAAGTTTTCTGTCTTTTAAGTAATAATAATAAATGATATAAATGCTATTTTTATAGCTTATTTTATCTTATTTTTATGAAACCAAAGATAAAGATTTCTAATTTGAGAATAAGTGTATGTTGGTCGTAAATTGGACAATGATACATCATATGGTCGACGGTGTCTGGGTTTTCTGTAGAGCAAAAGCGAGAGGCCGTTTCTGTCCGGTTATACATCGCCAGGTAGCTTCTAAAATTATGCTCAGTAAGTAGTTGAGCAGTAGCTAATGTTAAAACTCTAAGTGGTGATGAGAACCTGCATTCAACACTAGGAGAATAGTCTTGTTAATGGTTCATCAGTGAAACTGCTCAACCATTGTTGATTCCATTTTTTCATAGCGTTGTCGTGAATATAATTTTTAAGGCTGCTACGTGAGAGAGGGATGCGAGTGTAGTCCAAGTCAATGTCCTTTGCAGCTGACTAAGCCTCAAAGTCGACTTTTTTATTTCTAAGTATGCGAGAATGGCCAGGAAAATATATAAAAGTTATCTTATTTACAAGGTTTAATACGGTGCTGGATATATGTGATTCTATTGCCATTGCAATAGGAATTTAATAGAGCTTTTAAGACAGACTGAGAATCGCTGTAAATGTCGATAGAGTTTTGTTTGGTAGTAAAGTGGCCCACTGAACATCTTGGTAGTAGTCGTCATTATCTTCAGCTTGATAGATGGAGGTATATGGGAAGTATTTGTATCTTCTAACATATTTTGGGCAAAATATGTCAGTTTGGAAAAAGATACAGTTATTTGAGCCGAGACAAAGGGAGCTTTTAGAGCCATCTGTGTATATATTAATGTCTTCATGGTTATCCATGGAGGAAGCAGATGACACTAAATGTACCATGGCGATAACCTTGTTTACAGGGTGGTGATCACAGATAGTAGGGTAATTACAATGTGGTAGCATATGAACAGCTGTATATAGGAGTAGATACTGTTGTTGATCTTTAATGTTTGTAGTTGTGATGTAGTAGTTTAGAATCTTTTCTACAATACATACTGGGGAAGAAAGGAGCTTCGCTAGTATCAGAGGCATTAGTAGAAACAGTTATGCAGCGAATGAAATTCTGATAGCAAACTGTCTTTAAATAGAGTAATTTACTTACTACTGAATTTTTACTAGTTTCATGATTACAGCTAGAGGCTGCGTAAAGTAGCATTGGTTGCATTGTCCTATTATAAAGAGTTTTACAAGCTTTACGATTTAGTCCCGGGTGCGCCTAACACATTTTAGTTTATTTTATTGACCTTATACAAGATGTAGTTAATACGGCAATGGAATGTGGTTTTTATTCTCTGTTGTTTTATTTTGCATGACGTTTCTGTTTACACGTGCACTAGTAGTCGATCTGTCAAAGGTTTTGCGTCCTTTTGTGAAAATTAAAATTAATATAAAAATGAATATTATGACGTTTATTAATGAGAATAATAACAATAAAAAAATTGTTAATAATTAAAAAATAAACTTCTTAAAATATCAATAAATTGTTCATTCGAATTCATAAAAATTTTTTTTGGTTAAAATCTTTCTATAAAATCATGCTAAATGTTACGTAAAAGAGAAATGCGAAGGGGGATCAAAGAAAATATTACGGTTTTTACACAGGGGTGGGTGAACTCTAGAATGACCAAAATCTCCTTTTCAAACGGCTTCAAACATCGGTTAATCGAAAACGTTCCAGTCGTAGTGTGTCGTCCTGAATTTTTGTTTTTATATTTTTCAATATATTTATTTTGTTTGTAGAAAATAAAGAAATAATTTTTAACGATACAATAGCCACGATTATTATTATGAAAATTTTCGTTAGGCTTAATATCGACGAAAATTCAACGCGAAGCGACACACAGCGGATGAAAATTTAAACTATAATATATGCCCATCAGGTACAGTAGATTCCCCTATAACGCGGGTTTATATAACGTAAATTTCTATAACACGACGAAAAAATTGCGATGGCATTTGTATAAAGACGCTGAAAGAGACTCGTAAAACGCGGTAAAACGTCATCGCCAACTTGTCATCGTAAACGAGCAGCCGAACTACTTTCCGCCGTCCAGCTACACGATACGGCGAGTTTAGGTGGGTAAGTTAAGTTTACTATCGTCTGTATAGTATGTAAATTAGGTACCGTAAGTCTAATACAGCACTAATTTTATACATTTTTTGTAAAAGAACCATTTCTTATTCAACGGCCATAAAAATTATTGATATTAATGATGTCTCCAAAGTTCAACGAATTTTTCGCAGAAAAATAACATCAGAAATGCGGCCGCCGTTTGGTGTGCTGCTCCGCGACGAACACAAGCTTTTTGCAATGGCGACGTCGAACGATGCACACTCGGTAAGTAATCCTACAATTTTTTGTTTATAGCATAGTTTATACGGATTATTCCCAAAAAAATTATAAGTATTTTGAAAATGTTAAGTCGAATTAGTCTAGTAATCGATTAATTTTTTGAAAGAAAACCTTTCAAACATCCGTAGTCCGTAAACTTCACACGTGTCAGGCTGCGATTGGCTCCTGTATTTAAATTAAGAATTCCAACAACGCGAAATTTGTATAACGAGGAACGTATCTACCCCGTTATAGGGGGTCTACTGTATATTAAAATAATGTATTTTTTCGTACATAATCGGTTATCGGAAAAATCGATTTTTCGACCAACTTTGGTCCCCATTTGATTCGGATAATTGACGATCTAGTGTAATAATCAATAATATAATATTAGTATACCTTTCTAAATGTGACCTGCTTCTTCTTCCTTAATATATCTCCAATTAAAGCACCGAAACAATAAGTACCAAGATGAGAATAATATGGTTTAATGTAATTATAAGCAAAATATTTATAGGTTTCCCTAAAATAATAAATAAAAATATAAATATGTTTATTTTACTAACAACCATCCATTATTAAATAATAAATAAGTTAAAAGTTTATACTCAAAAACTGCAGGTATTCCAAGCATCATGTAATATCTGTTCGAAACTACATCAACTATATACAAGATAATCCCTGTTAACATGGATGCAATTATGGCAAGTCTTCGAAATTTGGACCATCTGCAAAATAATATTCAATGCATAGCAAAAGGAATTTGAAATATCGACTATCCGTTAAATAATAATATTTAAACTTTTATTAATACTGAAGAAATAAAGTAATTTTATCCAACGCCATCTTGACAAATCTTTAGGGTTTTAAATGCGACCAAGTTTACTTTGGTGTGAGATTTATTAACAAACTAAAAACAATTCTTTAAAAAATTAGTATCAAACTTTACCACTATTGAGCTCTTGGCGCTGAAAGGAAAAAACATTCTATTTGAGCCCAACATTCATGCAAATACAGAGGCGATAACGCTGCAAAAGATACTGCTCGATATGTCTCTATTCTGAAGACGTAAAACTTAAAGAAAATGAATGACGTGTGTAATGGCCGATCCTATTTTAATTGCGATTTATGATTGACAGTTTGGTACTGTGTTTGTAAGCTGCAAAATTTTACAACTGGAATTCGATAAATTTCACTTTTCGAGTATTACCAAAACCTAAAATTACACGAATTAAGAACCGAAAACCCAAAAATGTACGCGACTTTGGGGATTACACTCTTTAAAATCTACCACTTCAAAGAGAATCCATTTCAGACCATTGTGAAATGATTCCATACGTCCAATATTTTAATAATTATTCACCAGCATCATTTGTACCTAAACTTGTTTCTTTGGGTATTCGCAAGAACCTTCATGACGAGTTACAGAGATGAACCGCTAAAAATTTTTCCTGGTCCATACAGCTGATCCGAAGTAGGATATTCCTATCGTGCCAATTTTAAACAGAAAAGGAACAGTTAGGATCTCTGGCGATTACAAAAATATTTTGAATAACGACGTGAAATTAGTTTCTTATTCCATGAGAATCATAAGAGTCAGTTTAAACTTCATTCAGGCTGCAAGTTTTTTCCAAATTTGACTTCGTGCAGACTTACTGGCTACATAGGGTAGATGGCGAAACGGCAATAGAACAAACAATACTAGCCAATGGTGGTGCTTTTAAAATTTATTGCTACTCTAGCAGTGTTCTAGCTGTTTTCGGAACGCCCAGCATAATTACACTGATGTTCCAAACACCATTGTCAAACTTCTAGGTTTACAGGTAAACGGCGCTAAGTGTCCGACTTACACGTTTTCGCGTTGAAAACGTCTGCCGCAAGTTTTCTATTAAATCACACATTTTTGTTCGCATTTTAAAAAAGTACATACAATATTGAATATTCTTTACTTTATAAATCTTAAAACAATTCATTTATTCAATGGATGGTGTAAAGCAGAAAGATTGTAAACAGGGGCCAATGCCTACAATCTGTCTGCTTTACACTATTCAAATATTTTTGCTGTGGAAGCTGTTCCGTATTCGACAATACGGCGTTTCATTGTGAATTCGTATACACGAATTTTTACTCGAATATACAATAGCAATCTTATTGTTTTTCGTTTATGAATTTTTAATAAAATATATAATGCGGTTATAATAAATTATTAATTTTAAGCAATTAAAAGTATTGTGCGTTCAAATACGAGTATAATCGCTGTAGTATAGTCAGGATTAAAATAATTGTTCATAGACATCGCCTCACATTTCTGAGGCTGTATTCACATTTTTTTTTTCACTTGAGTAATTTTGGGTTTGTCGTGTTTGTAAATAGTAAACAAATACATTGTGTAAGTCTGTACAGATGCATTTTACGAACCTAGGAGCGACCTGTAGTATCACGTTACGTACCAATTAAAATCACCCCATATAGATTAAACACGCCCAAAATAGTTGAAACACTTTTGTAATGTTTATCTGATCGATTTAGCATTATATCAGGGAATCATATTACAAAAATAAATATACATTTTAATCTATTTATAAAAAATAAATTGTCGAATTCTTACCTGTCGACAATATATAATAACAGTGACATTAAGATGGAAAGTTGCAGCAACGCACTGATGAACCATATTACGTCGATAAACACCTAAAATTTTTTTATAAAGTAGACGAATTAAAAATCATAAAAGTACTAATATTCTATTCGATATACTTACGAATGTGTCATACACACAAATACAAGTAATGTCCGTAAATGCGTTCATAAACTTGCCGAAATAACAAAACTTTACATTGGCGTATCCTTATACTATAAACATCATTTATAAAAGCAATTTCTTCTAATTATTCTGCAGCACTTTCTGAACCAATTACGAGACAATATTTCTAAACGAATCCTTAGTAACCATTAAATTAACCGACGGTTTTGGTGTTTCAATATCACTGCTCTCTTTTTACATAATATAACTATTCGATCTGTTTTATAAGCCGTGTAAACTGCTTATAAAATCATAATTCGTTATGATTTTGTAAACTGCATCATAATTCATTATGAGAAAATTCTTATAATATTTAATTTATTAAAATTATTTCGTAAAAGATGTATTTATTTCAAAATAAACTTTTAAAAATTAAATAAAACAGTGAAGTTTAAACGAAAGAAATTGAATTGAAATTTTAGGCATTTTTCGTATCACCAGAACATTACATTTACAGGTGTACTGAGTATTCCCACTCATACAAGTTGCAAAATTTATAGCGAGTTCCGTTTCTATTAACAGACAATTGACATTAGGATAGTCAAATGGCAAACATCCTAAACGATACATAGTTATAGAACAGTTTAAAGTGAAGAAAAGTTTACAGTTCTTTCAAATTTCCTAAGATGTTACACATTAAAAACATTTGTAGCTTAACGATAAATAGCATATATCTAATACAATGGTTTATTCAAAACAATTTGAGTGCATGCAAATTTTTACGTAATCATTGATAATATCTAAAACATAAATCAAAATCTGAATTTTAACTATTATACATTTACCATCGATCCACCGATTGAGTAAATATGAATATGGCTGATATATTTCCACCATTCGTTTTCCATGTGTTTTCCCTGACTAATAATAATATCCCAATGAGGACCTTCTCCAAGAAGAGGCAGAAGAATTACGAAGCCCAAAACGAAGAATATCGGAAGTGTATATCTGCAAAACGAACAAAATATAATACACGACGCAGTGACAGTAAGAGTTAAATGTTATACCTGATAACTCGCTTGACTAAACACATGACATAGTATTTCGCAGAGTTTCGTCCACTTTTTTGTCTCAGATACATTACCATAAACCCGCTAGGCAAAAAATATTATTCATTATTAATTTTAAAAGCAAAAGTATTTTTGCGAAAATTCTATAAATGTTAGTATTATTAATATGATAGCAAATGTAAATATTATTCGAAAATTGTATTTATATGTAACATTTAAACTAAAATAATCTTACCTGTAGAAAAAGAACGATTCTATCATAGTGAAGCTTTGGAGAATAATTTCGAATAAAAAAAGATCCACATGCTTATAGTTGTTGGTATATTTAACTGTAAAATATAAGTATTTTTATTTTTATAAATAATAGATAAATAGATAATTCATTGCTCTTATTTTTCCAAATTTTATCCGTTGCTTTTACATTTATCGTAGCTTTAGCCAAGCAAATTATTAATTTTTTGCATCAAGGATACGATTGATTTTCTGCTAGAAATAAGTAAAGTTTTATTTTCAACTATCATAAATTAAGTAAAGAACTTTCTTGGTAAGGAAATTTTGTCCTTGTGTTCAACTAGAAAAAGTGTTTTAAAAAGAGTAGCGAATACTTGGAAAAATAACTTACATTGTCTATTTTCAAACGATTAATTTAAATTTTTAACGTAGTTCGTTATTAAATTTATGTAAAAGATTGTACCTTTTTCGGTACACGCCGTTACCACTATTCGGTTCTGTAGTTTTTCATGTTTTTCAGCTGAACACACACGTCCTTTTCTTTTAACTATTAAATTTTACTCCGTATCTTTGTTTCAGCAGCATACAAATTAAAACATGTAGTTTCCAATTCCTTTTGCTTATACAAATGTTTTGCTATCCGCTTGAACAAAGTTTTCCATCCATGTTTTTACATCTATCACTGAGTTTAGCAAAGGTGTTTAACAAGTGAACATATGCGTATGACCTTTGCAAACACTTTGCAAGTATTTGCAGATTAACTTAACAAAAGATTTGAAGGTAGAAAATAGACACTGACAATTTGAACTAATGAAAAACAATCGCGACAAAAATCATCGAATAGATTGCACGTATTATCGATAAGAAGCATTTAACCGACAACGAACGGAACGGCATAAAACACAACCCATTGTGCAGTATTACAGAAAACGATTTCCACAATTTCGTACAATGATTTCGCTAATTACGGAAAAATTAGTATGTCGCTCCAGCGAACAATTATTCTATTTTTTATTGCGAAATGTGTAAAGTTTCGTGTGACAGAAAATCGGGATGTTTTGTAAATATTTTTCTTTGTATCGTATCGTAGTTGACAAGTCAAATAAGAGGAGGAGATACAACCCGAAAGAAGAGCAATGAATACCGTAGGACTATAATATAGCGCTTTATGCCTTTATGATCTCAAGATTCGGATCAAAGTATAGTAATTATACAAGACGTTTTAATAACATTAAAATTCTGTTTTAATTAGTGAATAAAAATAAAGACCTAATTATATTTATCAGCATCTGTTAGAGATAAGTAAAAGTGTTTTTTATAAATATTTCCGACAATTGGTAAAGTCTAAACTAGAAGCATATGATATACAAAACATAAAAGTTTGAATCTCACATGCATGAAGATTGCAAACGACACCAAGAAAAGCCTGGAAAAGTTCATGCAAAAATAATATATAAGAGAGTGTACGTTACGATAGGGCAATAGCCCAAATTGTAAATTCAGCATTTCTGTACATTACTGTAGACATTAGATAACGCAGGAATAAATGTGCACACCCAACGACGTCATAGGTATTAGGACCATCGCATTTGTACCTTATATCGAATATTTTCTATTTTTTCTGTATTGATTTGCCTGTCTATCGAATACTGGGAGGAATGTAAGTTTCGTAGCAATTCTGGTTTTTACAGAAATTGTGAAATATTGCCGCGTATTATCTATACAACGAAGTCGATCAATAACGTATCAATTAAATATAGATAAAAAAAAACCACGTAATTGATTAATAATACGATCTTCCGTTTAACACTCTTTAAGGTTAATATTCAATCACTCCGTGTAAAAAGTAACTGTAAAATGAGGAAAACTTGATAAAGAAACTCTTTAGTGTTTGTTTTGTATCTTAATTTATGATGCGCAGCAAATTGTCAATAAATTAATAAGGTGTGAGAAAAAAATTTACAAGTTATATAAATATAAAAAACTATTTTCAAATCGAGCATCGTATGTTCGTAACAAAATAAAAAAAAGATTAACGTATAAATTTTTTGTTTCATAAGACGATAGTCTACATTTTTAAACATTAATTAAAAGTGATATATAATTATAATTACTGTGTTACATATATAATTACATTTTTTATATTAATTGTGACAGTAAACTAATTGAACAATAGAACAATTAAAATTGTGTTACGGTAGCAAGCCTTTTGCATACATTGTGGCATAAATATTTATAAATAATAAATATTATATTATACATTAAAAAAAAAACAATACCTGCTGTTGTGGGGTAAAATAATGCTGCAAAAGATACATGTCCCAACACCACAATATTTATTAGAAGAAATTTTACACCACACATCGATTTCGTACTTTCGTCAAGATTCGTCGAATATAATTGATGTAGAGATTTACAAGGTGATGCTCCGAGAATATACTCGAAAAATTTATCTAAATATAATAAACATTAATAAATTATTATTTCCGTGCAGTTCTCATTCTTAATTATGTTAAAAGTATGTTTTGATAATCTTAAAGACTTACCTTTACTCGCCTTCAAAGGAATAATATGAAGTCTCATTAATATTTCTGTTAACGTTGCCAATCCTACCCATGCAATAAATATGCCGAGAACAATTCTAAATTAAAGCAATTAATATTTTCACATCAATTTACTTAAATATAATTCGTATCATTTAATTAACAATCAATTAAGTAATTATTATTGTATGTATATCTGTTTGAATGTAAGAATATAAATAACATTTTTGTGTACATAATCACGCAAGAGCTATGTTAAAATTGGATTATTTAAAAAAGTGTTAAATACTTGCTTAATGAAGACTTTTCACTTGTGAAGCTTCGGACTTTAGTTGAGCTTTGTTTATAGGAAGAGAGCTGTTGTGAGACGTAGCCGATGTAGGAAAATAAAGAAAGAAGGCGAGGAAGGAATTACGTAAAGAATGAAAGTTGAAAGCTTTGATTAAAATAATCCTGACACAAATATACAGTACAAAGTGCCATTTTGGCTGATTGACAGTTATATATACAGACATCGCTTTGTTTATTTATATAGAATAATATATCACAGTAAAATTTAATAGCAGGAATCATTGCGGCTTGGTGGCTTGTGACGACGTTGTTGACCTGGTAGTTCGTCGTTAAAGGGTTGTTGCTTGGAAAGAGTAAGCCACACTTCTCTGAAAATGTGAAGAATAGTTTTAAGCTACGGACTGGGTCTGAATCGCTATCAAAATTTGTCTCACAGAAGTTCTAGATTTAAATCACCAAAAATCATTAAGCAATTCCTATTTAAAGATACACAATGATGGGGACAAACAAATATTTAAATCCTAATATAACAATTTAATAATTAAGTCTTATAAATATCGGAATTTGGTGTCGAATCGAACGTTGACGTCTATCTTTCCGAAGTTATGAACTAATACTGAATTTTCCTTGAAACATCGACGAGTTGAGATGACTAACAAGAAAAACACGTGACAATAGGACAAATTGTATTTTGATATCCGAATTTCTTCTTCAGCAGATATCTATTGAAATGTTATAAAAATATTTTGTCTCTTGTACGTAAGTGTTCTCGAAGGTCTCATCGATTCATTATGTATCTTTCGTAACTCATTCAACAGATTATTCCGTTCGTGTGCCGCCGTCTCTCTCTTTGAACATTCCAATCGATCCGTCGTGTCGAGAAACGTACTACTCAGGTTTTCCCGATAAATTTATATTCTAGAGAATACTGAATCTTAGGATACAAAACGACATTATCCGCTATAGATCGAAGAGCGGAAGAAAACTCGCTATTTGTTCAGCTGGAGACCCAGATGTTCGATGTTGACCAAGACATTGGACAAGCAAGGATACAACTCTCCTGTCGTAATCAAATCACTCGTAGACCTCTGGATGTTGCCCGCATTAAACATCAAAAGACAATTAAGATTAAAAAGGACTGTACTTTTCTATATTAACTGTAAACCTGGAAGACCTATCGAAAAATCTTGTGAGACTTTAATCTCTCTCTATGTCTAATTAACGGATTATTAATTCTAACTCTAACAGTTTCGGTGTGAATGAACACACGCACATACTGACTATTGTCCGTCTTTAAAAATTTTTGTTAGTCAATAATAAAAAACGTTGATACCAGATTGCTAATGGTTTGAAACGTTTTTATTGTACTTAGTTCCCGCAATTGACACCTTTTAGTGTATTTACGACTATTCAACCAAACAAAAGATTCTTTGTTTATTAATGTTTATAAAATATTTTATTTAATTTCATATATTCTATAGCTCATTAACGTTAATGACTTTAATTCTTATATTAAAGAATTAATTAATTCAAATTGTATATCTGTGTTCACTTTTCTGTAAAGGATAACACGCAATCATCTGCTGTACATCGAAGATCGGAGGAAAACTCCCTATTATTTGTTTTTATTACTAAATATATTCTGAAATGGTTTTAATTAATTTAAATCTATTTTTGTAATCTTATAAATTTGTATAGCGATTTAAAATTAATATTTATATATTTCAATAAAGTTGGATATTTTAATAATATTTATTTGCTATTTGTTTTAAATATGTTGTGTACATCTAAAAATTGTGTAAACATTTATAATCAAATGTTGTGCCGAATTTGACAATAAGATTAATGATTACAGATAAGATTAAGATTAAGATTAATGATATGTAGTAATGGTAAATAATCCTAGGAAATCGATTACAGCGATATTAGAACAGTTGTAATGCAATCAAAACTGTATTGTAACACTTCTTTTAGAATTTTGTTTTATCTTCAACGATAATCTGTGTTGCACCCGTGTCGATAACAAATTGGTAAGAGGTGTGCGATTTTTCATTTTCACGCTTTTTGGCATAATTTAATTGAGAAATTTTACAAACGAACATATTCGAATCTCTATTTCAGAAACAATTTGCAACTATTTGAGGATTAATTTTACACGAGTTTTCCAGTTGAAAAATCAATGGACTAATTGCAGCAACGGGATCATTTATCACAAATACCGTCTAAGAGACTTTTACCTTCAATTTATGGCTCAGCAAGAAATAAGATATCATATGCAGAATAAACAAGAAAAATCCAATAATTTCACAAGAATTTATCCTAAATACGACCATATTAATATGTTGCTCTCGGAAAATTACTCTAATTCTTTTCAATTTTGTATTGTGTAAAGTCTAATGTGGCAGTTGTTTCGTGACTTTTTTTACGTATATTTTGCGGTGTCATACCAGACAGTTCCGAGTCAAGTAAAAAAAGATTCAATTGAAAGAAGAGACGGTAAATTATCGCTTATTTTATTCAACGATTGAGTGAATAATAAAAAAAAAGAAAGGGTTTACAGGTCGACCGGAAACGGAATATTCGATTATAGTAAAAAGCAGAACACATAAAGCAGAAGCAGAAACGGTTGATAATTTAAACTAAAGTACAGTACTTAAAACACAGAAATCAAGATAAACGATGCGCATTCAAATAGAAAATAAATTTCTCTTTAATATCATGTAATGTGCTTTAGAATAAAATAGATTCGATTTGCTATTTTCCTTGTTAAATTTATTTTTGTCGTAAGATTATTGATTAAAATGGTCTTTAATCAATTTATTATCGCGTTTTTCACAGAAATTTTATTATCTATTTATATTTTCTATTGCATCGTTAATTTGCCTTAAGTAATTTGAAGTCATTTTCATAATTTTCATGTTCTTAATTTAATATAAACAGTTTAATAAAGCTTTACATCAACTAAAGCCGAAAAAAAATCAACCCGGCAAGCAGAAGTTGCGGTTTCGAGTCCCGCTTCAACCCAATTCTTTTCTTTCAGTAATTCTTAAATTATTAATTAAATTATAATTATTACATGTATAAAGAGATAGCGCTCTACGCCTAACTCTATTGTATAATTGTCTACTAAATTATTAGTATTATAGCCGTTTCTAGCCCGAAACTATTCGGCTTTGGTTGATCTAAAGCTTTGAATGTATCGGGTGTAGTAAAAATGTTTCATTACTTCAATAAAAATATACTTACAACGATATCAATTGTCCGGTACTGTATTCAATGCGTTCATCTTTGATTTTGCAATATTCGACGTTAAAGTCTACCGCTGTTCCGAATACTGAAAAATAGTTCACTTTTTTTATATAGTACAATTGACTCTTGTTAATTCGATCTCGTTATCGTAAACTCTTTATGATTACTTTTTTTCTTTACCATAACGTAAAGAAAAAAAATTATTTTTAATTACCACTCAGTAATCAGAACATTTTAACAATTGTTTTTTCTGAATTTCGTATTTATATCGACCTTAAAGTACATACTGTATATAAGCATATATATGCATTAATTTTACAAAGTTATCATGAATTATTATGCTTTGTTAAACTGATTTTGTTTTATTTAGGCCGAATAAAATAGACACAATGGTTTAAGATTCCACGAGCAGTTTGATAATGCATATTTGGATTTACAAAAGTATTTAATATAATTGTTTCTGTGAAAGATCGAAATTAGAGAATGTCGATATTCTTCGGTGAATGTCGACACGTACAAAATACGTCGGTGAAAGAACAAATATTTAGTTATAATATTATACATTCGAACAATCGCCAGTGTATTNGGCATTGGTTGATGTAAAGCTTTAAACGTATCGGGTGTAGTAAGGATGTTTTATTACTTCAATGAAAATATACTTACAACGATATCAATTGTCCGTTACTGTATTCAATGCGTTCATCTTTGATTTTGCAATATTCGACATTAAAGTCTACCGCTGTCCCGAATACTGAAAAATAAAATTCAGAAAGTAATTAAACATTTAAACAATTACATAAATTAATTTTCCAAAGTAACGGTTCAATTTATCGCTTATTTTATTTTTAATTTATCAGAAATAATGAGGTTCAAATGCATTTCTTCTAAAATCAAATTTAACTAAAAGAAAAAAAGTATTTTAAGTAAGAAAAGTCGATCTACCCATATGGTTCTTCCCTGCAGTGGGAGGAATTTTAATTGGAACTTTTCTTTAAACACATCTGAAACATTCTTTACAAATTATAAACAGAATCTGCCATTGATGGGCACTCCACGCATTACGGTTACTATTTTCTCATAAAACATAGCATAAAAATTGTCTTATTTTTCTAAATTATACAATTAACTCTCGCTAATCCGAACTATTTATAATGAAGTGTTTACAGATTATTGAGTGGTAATTTTAAAAATTGTTACATATTTATATCGACTTTAAAATACATACTATAAATAAGTACTGTATTAATTTTACAAAGTTATTATGCTTTATTAGAGAGATTTTGCGTTGTTTCGGCTCTGTATAATAGAATGAATTAAGTTCCTACGTACAGTTGATTTAAACGTATTCGGATTTACAAGAGAATTTCATATAATTACAAAATATCAAACGACTTACTCCAATTCCCAACGTGTTTTAAGTCTTTATTACTACATGTACTCGGAATGCACGCATCCAAACGTATTCTCATTCTTGTATAGGCTAACTCTGTTTTTACTATGTCTTCAAACTTCGCTGGTTTCTAAAAAATTCGTTAATTCGTTGTAGAAATAAATTTAACTGACAAATGACACTTAACTGTATTAATCCATCGCAAATTATTTCTTTAAACTTTAATACTTACAATAATCTCTTTTGCTAGTTTAATCAATGAATTATTTTCCAACTTATGAATAGACTTTGCTATACGTTTCAGTGATTCTTGCATTCCAATTGTCAGGGCACAGTATTTGCCTCGAACCTGTTCCTTTCCTTTATCGGTGATCACTTTTTTATTTTGAGGCATTTTTATGTCCAAACACTGGTCATAATCTCCCGATATCCATAGTGTTATTCCTAACATTCCTGACGGTAATTTTCCAAAAGAATCAATCACTGGAAATAGTAAATGCATACAATTAATTAAAGTTATCTTTATGTATATCATGTTTTCATAAAAACAAATCGAAACAGAAAACAATTACATCTTTACGTGGAGACTCGCAATACAGAAAATCTTCAATACATGCGGTTAATCTCTGCCTGAAAAATAGGGCATACCTTTTTTGCATACCTTTTTAATACATATTTAATTGCGGCTCGCGAAAAATTTCAAATTTTTAAAATGGCTCAGACTATCAAGGAGCTTGGCCACCCTGGTAATAGACTACATAACAATGGAGTAAAATGAGCGCAAGTTAAAAGTCCCATCTACCCCTTCCATCCAAAGTTAATGGATAGTGTCGGGTAAATTCTCTAATCATCTCGGGACCCGAACAGATTTCGTATTTCGCTTAGGGACAAAGTGAAGCCAATCAAGATAGACAAAAAGGGGAGAACGGAGATCGATATAATCCCCGATCTTCAAAGACACGAGGCACTCTGCAAGACGTACTCTGCGAGTCAACACAAAGGAGTGAATATCGGAAGGCTGTATCAACACACTGGGGACGAATCTTTCCTATGGTAAATCTAATTTTATGCTAAAATAAACGGATTTTTGTAAGATACTTGTCATCTCTGTCTCCTCCTCCACACCCACACGCGAACCACCCTAGATTATCCCGATGCGGGATTAACGATCCCCGAAAAGTCGGAAAACTTACACTGGTGAGAGAAGTGGGATTTTAAGTCCCCAATCTCCGTCAACTCAGCGAACTCACATTAAGAGTTAATAAGAAATTTGGCCTAATCATCTCATTTTGAAGCTATGAATATATAAATGAGGCCCACAATGTATTAAAGTAATTAATTTATATACAACGAAAAAATAAAATGCACGCTTTAGGGATAGACTAAAAGTGTTTGTAGAGTGTGACTCACTGTTAATGCTTATGTAAAATGCTTTTTTTCTTTTAACCCGTATTTTTTTTGCACGTTATATTATTATTTTACGATCACAGGTTATTTAATAATTTGTATAATAATAGAGAAAAATTTCAATTAAACTTCCAAACATAATTATTCCATAAATTGTATATTTTCTTATAAATTAGTTTAAAAATATGAGTTGGTAACTTTACATGCCGGACATTAAAACTGTAGGAGGCACTAATTGTTACATTTTAAAACTGACAAACTTTTTATATAAATTATTATAAAATTACAAAAAGCTGAATTTTGAGGATATCCATCGAAATCCATATCGAAATCCAGAAGACGAAATAATTACGACTTCGAATTAACGAGGATTTCCTGTATACGAAAATCCTGTGTGTTTTCTTTGTCCATCTTTCTACGTTTCAGGTTCTTTGTGTCCAAAAATTAATTCAGGTTCATTTTGTGGCAAATCGCAGTACTTTTCCTCTTTATTTATAACAGCCGGAGGGTAAAAAAGTAGATTGCACTACTACCATTTTTCATAACATAAAGAAGCATTTAAATCATACAATATTGTCATAGTCCACATTGAAAAATAAAAATTTTTTTAAAAACCAAACGAGCGATTAAGAGACAAACTGATATAATGTGACACAATAATTTCGAATATATTTTTTCTGGTACTTGTCGCGTTGTCACTCTCTCGAAACTAGCATCAGTTGGAGTAAAATCTCGCGATAAAAAAATAAACCTGTCCAAAACTGAACCTGCTTAAAAAAATTTTTTTTGAGACTTTTTATTTTAAAATGAAACCGTTTAAACAGTAAACCGTGTAAAAAATATTCGAGATTTTGGTATACACAGATTTTACTGCAACATTCAGAAGTAAGTATTTAGGTGAGTTTTTATGTGATTCATTAGAAAGTTTTAACATCATTTGTATTATTAAGGTACATTTAATTACTGTGTGAGAGCTCGCACTAAATAAAAATTTTATTTAACAAGAATAAAATATATAAATTTATTAAAGAACTAGCTGCAAGGACCCGCTTCGCTGGGTTTTTAAAAAGTAACGATACTGAAGATTAAGTTTATAGCTAATCTTACCCGTTTTCACAGAATGCAAGAATTAGGTCCCCCGTTTCTGATTAGAGACCTGGTCCCGATTCTATTTCTGAACGTCTCCTGTTCACGTCAAGTCAAACAAACTATTTTTAACGTTTCTGGAACGTTTACAATCGTTCTATAATGGAACCAATATTCAATAGAACCAATATTCGAATTTTAAGTTCGAATTTAATTCGAACAAAACATTTGAAATAGAAAGCCACTTCCAACCACTTTCAGCCTCATATCTCCCGCACCCTTATAGCTATCGAGACGCAACCACCCCTATGCACGAATGGAGACTTGTAGCTACCACCACATACAAACACCATCCACGTGCGATGTGTAGTTTTGGCGAAAAAGTTAAATATAGGAACATACATGTCCTTTTTATATATATAATATAGATAACGCATTTCTCCTATTATATATTAATATTAAAAAATATTTTTCCCAACATTTAATAAAATATGAAATGATGTAATCCTATCTTTTTCCACATTCTTTTTCTTTCAAAAGTGACACGTCTTCCGAATGTGTGTGTCACCATGAACTTTCGACCAAAATTCATCTAGTGGTCGAAAAAGTTAAATTAATTGCCTAAATGAAGCATCAAATTCAAGAATAACGATCCTCGAAATTAAAGAATAGCATCGACGACGACAATGAGATTTCGCCAATCCACTTCCTTTAAAAAAATATTCGAGTTTGCTTACCTATCGCCGATACCTTCCTCCGCCGCCGTTCGCAGGAGCTTAGCTGTTTTGTACCGGACGTTCGAACTATACCAGATAAGAACACTACTTGGCCCGACCCAACAAATTTGAATCTCTTGACCCGTTCATCGATTGATCTACGATAGTCCGACCTGAATTTCGACTCATCAATTAAGTTAGTCGAGGTATTTATCGTCGTGTGCAGAAATGTAAACTGTTTCTCTCTCTCACGATTCAGGTCCGATTTCGATTTTACTTATTTTGCCGTATAGAAAATGCATTAAATATCTTACGCTATGTAAAGCCCTATCAAATTTCTTGCGCTATATACAAGCTATAATGTAAATGCTGTGCGTTATCCTATGTATATCTATATCTAAATGTAAATAAATAAACGGGTGCCGACCTTCGGTCATTAAAAAAATGTTGTTAATGAATATTTCACATATTCAATGTATTAAATACAGTAATATATTATAAAAATAAATTCGGTTTGTTTAATTTAATTAAATGAACTACTTTTAACCTGGTAAATATTAAAATAAACGATTAGGCAGTAATAATAAATCTTAACGAATTGCGTAAATTTTAACATATTGCATTTAGCTTACATATTTCAATTTTAAAACAAAAATTAATACATTTTTAGTTTAATTAAATATACAATTTTACTCAAGATATATTCTTAATATTACTTCTTTGCACCATTCTTTAATCTTTTAGACTCTATCCTTGGTTATAACATGATACAGTTATGCATTATGTTAAAACAGCCAGTATATAACGTAATTAACGCTGCCACTTTTCAACTTTCCCTTCACCAGTGTCATCACAAAAAAGGTAGAATTTCATGACTGCATTTTTGTCTGTCATAATAAAATAAAGTAATTATATCGTGAGAAATTTTTCCGTGACTTTTGTAAATCTCCACGATCTCAAACTCTCGAAGCCGATTTTTAAGGAACATTCCTCCGCGTTATACGAGGAATACATGTGTATAGAAATCCTAGCTTAAGTTCTAATTATTTCATACAGTAAAGATTACTTACTTCGAAGAGGCCACTCTTTTAGTTTCATCAAGTCTTTCAGGAAGATAACGGAAGACTTCGTGCAAGGTGAAGATACGTTCACTTCTTCGAAAATTCTCATCAGATAAGGAAGACTCGGCTTTAAGACAGACTTCAAAGCGGTTTTGATTTTCATCTCCGCATTTTCTAACATCATCGACGTTTGTCGGAAATCATCTTCGACGCCCTCGGGATTTGTATCGTTGCATTTCGCGTAACACAAGAATATCGTCAAGAGTAAGATGAAATTAAGAAACCTTCCGTACTGCATTTTACGAGCTTTCTCTGTGTCGATGAACAACTTGTAATTCTCTTTGCATTTACTCTCGTCACAAAAATGTATTTTCCTTGTTAGAAAAATGACTCATCAATAATAACTTATTCAAACTGGAACATATTCAAAAATTATTTATCTCTTATAATACGAATCCCAAATAATTTATAGGTGTTCTAATTATTTAATTATCCGGTGTTAAAGTGACTCGATTTTTGTTTATATATTAAAAAAAAAATTATGGACATCGTTTTTATAATTTCTAAAATATAATGTTTTATTTCATTGTACGTAACAAGTAGAAGTATTTGGAATCGTGCCAAACGTGAGTTTTTGGTTGTTTGCAAAACTTCACGTTTAGAGACTTCCTGAAACAAAAAGTAAAAAAAATTCTGTGTCACTGTGCGCGTGAGTTAAAATCTATTTCGTCTACTATTATCTCAGCATGAGGTTATTGTTTTTTAATTTGGGACGGTTGCTTGTGTGTAAAACGCATAGATACTATTACATTTTGGTAGTTAAAAGCGAAGGGATGGGGAGGTAGTAATCACGTGTCTTATCTGCAGATTGTTCAAACTTGAAGATTTTATTCGTCATTAACATTTATAATTTTTATACAACTCATCAATATTGTTGACATTAATCATTTTGGCATTTTATAATAATCAATAATGTAAAAAGTTTTCTATAACAAAAACTCCTACAAGATAAAGCAAAGTAAACGAAACCATAAAAAATTTAAGTGAATGCCTAAAGCTACAACCCCTTCTACCACGAAACAGAATCTTAACCAACTACTTCCGAGAATATACTATATACCACCGACATTAGATGGTGCCACCATCTAATGGCGGTGGTATCAATGGTGGTGCCAAAGCTGTCAAAGAGAATTTGCATGAAGGAATTGTTAAAGATTGACGAATAACAATTTGTCGTGAATTTCCATCAATTCTTAGTGTATCACAGACGGTTGATTGGCACAAGCCCCGTGAACAAGCATTTCGAAAGCTAGCAGCTAGTAAAGGAAACGTAAAGAAACTAAAGGATTTGATGGCAAAAATCATAGATATATTCGATCTACAAGCCTAGTGGACGCGCTAAACCGGGTTCATTCTTTTTAGGGAAAAGAACCCCGCTGGCCGTCTTTTGCGTTTGTTGAGTAAAGTGAGCTATTAGTTTTGTGGATTAAGTGCAGAACAGGCTGCACAATATAAAAGTTATTTAAGTTAGAGGGCTGGACCGGGGTACAGATGGGAGCCCGTAAGATGTGTCATATGGTCAAGCTCCTTCGGCGTTTATATAGAACAGTGGAAAAAAACGAACATGGATCAAAAAATGACCTGGTCAAGGTTCATATATTTACGAACTCCGCAGTCTCTAACGCATCGAGAAATGAAGAAAGAAAATTCTGTGTTATTTTACATAAATTAGTGTGTTGGGCGGAGACGTTACTGTTTATCCATTTATAATTTTATAACTTTGGTCAGAAATTTGAAAAAGTTTTTTGGTCGGAAATTTATGAAAATTTGCGTGGCAAAGAGGTCGTCGCCCGTTTCATCACGGATATAAAACTTTGTGTCTCTCTGTAGAAACACCGAATACCATCTGTCGATTACTGACTATCTCCTCCGTTCGCCTCTGTCTCGTCTTCCGTTTAAAAAAGTTTTCTACTTCTGTTCTGGATGCACTTTTTTCGAACTGTTTGCAGTGTGTTCCGAACTGTCGCGTACAGAATACTCTAAAAACGGTTGAACGATCATGTCGTATATTCGGATTCGATGTGTTTATAACAACGCGCGATTTCATGTAAACTCTTTCTCTCGCCAACGCGTCCATGACTCTGTCATATCCAATGTCCAATGTCTTGCTACCTTTAGCCTGTAGATCTGGTATGAAAAATAAACAGGGTATTTGGTTGGTTAACCTAACATCCGAGTTCTTTTGCTTCCAACGCTGTCGCTCTCGCCTCCTTCCCAATCCGATCGCTCCACACACGACCAGACATTAAAGAGGTGCCGACCCTCCGGTCACACGATGTATACTCATTCATCAAATCAAATGCATATTTGATCGGTAATGAAGTCTTTAAATAAGAAGTAGGAAAGAGACAATGCTCGAAACTTTTCCTGTTGATAACTTGTAAAAGTTAAATTTGAATTTACGCACCAGGAATTAGGCTGACAATATAACTCTCGCAATTTAAAGTAAAATACTATAAATCTGCTTACTTAATTCCAAGTTTTTACTACCTGCACAAACAAGTTATAAGAGAAAAAGCGATAGTGTATATTAAATACTCATTTAGTCTAAAATAACTGTCTGAAAGAATACTTACTCCAGAAAATTATTTCATTGTGCATTGATTTATTTTTTGCAAATAACTTTTGAAAAAATACAGAGTAAAAAGTACTTTAATTCAGTTGCTTAGCGTTGGTGTCAGCCGCCCGGGGCAAAGGAAAACTTCGCCGTCCCCTTATTTAGGTACCTGAATTTAAAAGACTAAAATTCAGTTTCGTCACGGAATAAGTAATGGAAAAGTCCGTGCTATGTTGTCACCTTTATAAAATCACTGACCGGAACGGCGAGTGAGGTTTGTTCGAACGGAAGTTTCTGACACGTGCGTAAGTCATTTTGCAATGCGAACAATAATGTTCAGTGCATGCCGGTTCTAAATCAGTTACAGTTAGCGACTAGAAAGAGTTGGGTAGGAGTAACGTAAGTAACCTACATGACTTATCTCTATTGCATATTGAAGGTGTATATGAATACGAATGAATCATACAAGAAAACAAAGAAAGAAAAAAAAGGTAAACAGGTTGCGCACGATATCCCCCGGTTAAAATTAATAGTGTGTCCGGACGGTGTTTATTTCAATCGGTCCGAATCGTAGGTGCGCCGAAAATATGAAATCAAATCGTTCAAATTTTTACAAGATACTGTTATTTATTGTGAAATTTTGCCGCCTCTTAAAAGTGCCACCCGGGGCGGGCCGCCACAGT